GCTTTGATTTGATATCTGTCTTCGAGTTTGCTTAATATTGTCATTATGCATTAAATGTACAACCTTTAGCAGGGCAGGTGTAGACCATGCTCCAAGTCCATCTGTTCTTTCAGTGTTATTCTGAACACAATCATCTCAAAATTCCACCTAATGTTAAGATATTTTGACTTAAAATTTATGCTTGTGTACAACTGGAAAATTTCTAAAATTCAGACTTAATTTGAAAGATGGCTTCCAAAAGTTCTTAAAAAGAACAATTTTCTTCAAATAAAGGCAGAATTTTGCCCACAAAATATACAGTATATTCACTTTACAGTATATTCTGTAACGCACTTTGAGACTGCTCAAAGACGTGATAAGACTCTATATCAAATACAAGGATTATTATATTTATATAATTTCCACAATTCTGCACAATCCTAAATTTTAAGACAAAATAGTATTACCGTACTTATTAAGGTTATTATTACCATATTATTAATTATAGCTGTGCCTCTTGTTCTCTTACTTCTTGCACTATTTGTAAAAACACAGCTCTTAAAAGCACAGCATTTCTTGTGAATGATAGTAAATAAGGTGCTGTGTTTGCACATGTTGTACCTGGTTAAATCACATCCACCCCACTCCCTGATGTGAGCAACACTTGCAAAATTTGGCTGGCTGGGGCGCTACAAAATAAATTCAGGACATAATAAACGCATTATTCATCCATTCCATTTGGGAATGGACACCATTTTCAAAAGGAGGCCAATCTTTGCCTGATTTCTAGTGGAAAATGTTGATGTAACTGGCTTTTGATTTGTGTTCGACCCAAATCTATAACAGCCTCATCAAAATTACCATGCTCTGCTTCAAATAACAAGTTTCTTAATCTTTTCTTCATGGGCAGGAAGATTTTACCAGAGAGATTATGTACCACCAATTCATGCAAGCATCAGGAGCAAGTCAGCGGGTGCAAGGCTGTGACATCTCAAACTGTAAGCATACTACAAAGATACAAAGAAAGAGATTCTTTGTTCCATGTTGTGACTCTTTCAACAAACAATTATAATGGGAGAGTGTGTGTAGTTGGTGGGGGGGAGGAGGCTCAATAATGTGCCAACAAAGCGGAAACCAGGCCTCAACTCTTCTAAGGACTGTTTATGAGTAGGCAGGGTTATTCTCAACTCCCCATCATGTCTACTGACTTCTATATTATAATAATCCTGACATTTGATAGAGCGCCTCAAGTGCTTCACAGAATTTACGGTGAAGTGTAATCTATGCTAATCTGTGCATTTTTTGGTCACTAGGGTGTCGTACACATATGGAAATCCATCACCATGCTTAAGAGTATCCAAACCAAACTTTCATACATCCCACCTACACATGGAAACTGCAGAGGTAGATTGTTGCAATGGAATGCGCACTCTCTCCCTGGAGGAGCGCATTCTGTTTACGTTATTCTAAAAAATAGTAGGCACAGGTTGGCAAGAGCCATGGCTTGGCGACCCCATGGGTAGGCGAAAGCGGCAGCCAGTTTGTGCACAACAATGCCCCACAAACAGCCACAAAGTGGGTAACCAAGTTAATTCAGGGGTTTGTTGGCCAGGACACTAAGAGAAGCTCCCTTCGCTTTTCAAATAGTACCATGGGATCTATAACATCCACCCTGTACAGGCAGACAGGACCTTATTAGGATTAGTGACCTAGATTTAGTGAACAGCTAGTTTATTATTTAGCTAAATCACCTTTTTTTGATTAAAATTGTCCAGCCAATGCAATTTACCTAATAATGAGAGCAGCAGGACAAATGCTCAGTTTACAGTCCGAATGACTACATTAATCAATACGTTCAAAATCAACGCGGCCTTGGTTTCCCAGAGAGACTTTTCTGTGCAGTTTACTCTGTGACTCAGGGTGCTCATTACTCCGGCTGGGCCAAGAGTTTGGTGGAGCAGGTCAGCTTGATTGAAGTGCCTTTTTGATCTAGAAATACTGCATCAAAATCTACTTCATGGCAGCAGCATTCAGCCTGTGTGTCACTAAGTGACAGACAAGGTTTATAAAGTGGTTTTACTGCTAAATTATCATCACAGCAAGAATCCATTTTAAACTAGGTACAGTGGATTACAATGAACTGTTCCCTCGGGGGGTGTACTGTAAACATTTGCGCATGTTTTACCAGCTGTGGATTCCAATAACATTCATCAGGATAAAAAATGGATTGGCTTCAGGACTTTTATTGGAGGATTTCCCCAATTTTCTCCTATTCTCTCATGAAGGCACTGGACTTAGTCCAGGGTTTGGTTCAATGAGTATCAGCAGCTCTCCCATACTCTTCTTCCCTGTGTGCTCTTCACATCTGAGGCATTTCAGTTGAAGAGGTGAATGTGAGCACATTATTCTCCATTTGTTGGCAAATGTTACATTCCAGGTGGTGTCACTGGATAATAATCAGAGCAGAACCCTGCCTAATCTCCACCGCACCAGCATTGTCTGGTAAGCTTCCCGCTGCTTGTCCAGCTACAACCACTCTATCCATTGGGGCTTTGGCTTGCAGCATTAACAGGAGCCGAGTGGAAAGAATCCCTACCCCTAGTGACTGGCTGGTCATCAACAGTGCCTTGGAGTACTGTTTAACTCAGGAAGCGGCCTACTGAGACGGCCACAGAGAAGCAATTTAATTCCGATATTTCATTGCCAAGCATGTCACCTTGGAGCCTACTCAGCCCCAGGGAGACCCCACTTACCACCCCACTTATCCCAAGCAGAACACAACTTAAAGCAATCTCAGTCCCCAAAAAGTTGAATCTCCTCAGCTCCATTCATTCTTCATCTCAAATAAGTTACAGCTGTCCTTTCAACTCTGAAGGAGAAAGCCTCAAACTGGCTTTTGTGTGAGGAAATATGATGTAGTTTATTAGCAACTGGTTATTTTCATGTCTTAACTTTTATCTGAGATCAAAACAACCACAGTTTGTACTGAAACTGCAATACAATGTAGTGTTTCCTAGAATATTTATCAAAGTATGCCCTCAACTCCAATTCCTTTCCCTTCATCCCGGGCAGAGGACTGGCTCATGCTGGGATAGGTTTCCATGGATGCAAAACGTTGGCTTATTAACATCTTCCTGATGCTAATTCACCCATTGTACATTATTAATTTACAGCATATTCTGTGAAGCGCTTTGAGACGACTAGGAGACATGAAAAGCGCTATATCAAATGCTAGGATTATTATTATTACTAGCACGTCATGGTTTTATTTCAGGTTTCCAGCAGATATTATTCATGCTGCAAAGTTCTGGACGGGGTATTATCCGCTTGTCAGTAGATTTGCTGATGTTGAGTGGCAAGTGCACATTATTCTCCATTTGTTGGCAAACATTACATTCTTCTCATTTTTCAATACAGCAGTCATCAACAATTTACGCTGTTGCTCAAGCATATTAGTGTGTGTTAACATGCTGCAAGAGGTCTTATGATTACCAAAGTTCATTCTACAGACCTTAGAAGATTTCTATCACTGCTGAAATTTGTGCAACATTGTTTAACCCTTTTCCAACCACAGTGGCCACATCAGTTCAGAATCACTGAGGTTTCAGGATAGAAACAATGGGTGACTGGAAAATGAAAGCAGAGCATAGATTTACTATGTCCCACGGTGCACTATTTGCTAACGAATCAAGGCTAATTGTGAAATGGATTTGTTTGTTGAATGTGAAAACGTGCGTGTTTACTCACGTAGCCCTATAGCACTGTGTTTCATCACTCCTTTGGAAATCTTGAGGAAGGATTTAAGAGCTGGTTCATTTAGCTCACACAAGCTATTCATTTAGTGAGTAAACTGCTGAGGCCAACCATTCACTACAAGTGCGAATTGAACAGACCTTTGGTGCTCCCTGAAGATTGCTTTCCTCAAAGCAAAAACTTATTTTTAAAAGTTATGGTGTCTGCAAAGTCTCATAAGAAAGACAGGAATTGAATGAACACTTTTCTTCAATTATCAGTGTAATTACTTTTGTGCTTACGAAGCAATTGCGTAGTAATTGTTCTAAACTTTATTTAATCTGACAAATGCACGTAATTGATTCGTACCTAGAAATTTGCCTTTTGCTGGTAATTATTTTCTCCCTTCCAAAGTAAGATTGGTGATTAGCAGGAGATTATGCTTGTTTCATTAACATCTGACTGTTCAAAGGAGTTTATTGTTTCATCATGTTTTAGGCCAATAACAAAAAATGCAGTTTCCAATTCACTTACCCTGGTAACTGAGAGTTTATTAATCCATAAGAGCTCAAAATTCCACCAAATATATGAGTTATATGGGTCAGTGATCATTGGTAATGGAAGAAAATAGCAAAAACACATCTCAATCTGCTATGAAGAATTTCAGAATGTGAGAGATTATAGTGCGGTAAAGAATTAAATGTTAAAAAGGTAGGACTCGAACTCCAAAATCAATAAATGTTACCAACAAAGATAATCTATAAATTATTATTAAAGTGATACAGCAAATTCCCTGATCATCAATTAACAGTCTACCACATTACTGGTTATATATGTCAAAATATTACTGACTTTAGATGAAGGCCAACTAATTGATCTAATAGATGATAAATTTAAAGCAACAATATTTTTACATTTATATAGCACCTTTTACATTGGGAGGACATTTCAGAACGCTTGTCTGGGAGCCAAAGCTAGGTTTGGAAGAAACTGAGGAAGGAGGTGGAAAAGGAAACCAAAAGTGCAGTCGAAAAGAAAATACATAAAGAAAGGCTTTAAAATTGGGGAGGGAGGGGACGAGGTGGATGGACTCCAGGAAGGAGTTCCAGTGTGTGTGTGTTGGCAGGGGGGTTTAGGGGGAGGAAAAGAGTCAGGGTTGAAAAAAGCAGAACAAGCATTTTTCAGGTTGTTCACATACATATTTTTATAGTTGTTTATAGAATGACTATTTTTTGACTAGCAAAGTCAAAGCAAAGCTAGAGAAGGAAAACAAAAGCTAAAGTACTTACGCGGTTCGGATTTCTTCTTGGGAGCAACCTTCTTCTTAGTTGGGGCATCTAGCTTTGGTTCATCTTGGTTGGTAGTTGCGTCAGTCTTTTTGGTTCCCGCAGCAGGAGTAGTAGCGACAGTGGCACTCTGCTGGGCGCCGACAGGGGGGACAGCCATTACTGGGACTTCCTTGGTAACCATCTCCAGCATCGGTGCAGGAGTCGAGGCAGCAGCAGATTTGGAGGAACCTGTGGCCAGAGGGTGGGCTGAAACCTGACTGAGGGCAGGTTCAACCTTGGCCACCTTTTTCTCCTTCTTCTTCTCTCTTTGGACACTGGGGGAGATGCCTCTGGAGTAGGATGAGAAGAAACAGCCGCAACCTGAGCCTCAATAGTTGGCGCCACAATAGCAACAGGTTCAACTTCAGCCTCTGCCTCCGAAGCCTCTTGGACTGGCTCAGATTCTACAATTCTTCCATTGGGCTTCTCCTCCTTCTTCTTTGGTTTTCCTTTCTTCTCAACAGATTTCTCCTTCTTCTTCTTCTCGGATTTAACCTGCTGGGCCTTTTCCTGCTCTCTCCTCTGCTTTGCCAGTGCTTCTTCATAGGAAGTTTCCTTCATGGAAAAGGTGGAGACCAAGAAGATTCCTATGGCGGAGATGACCATGAAGCCACCAAACACCATAAACCCTAAGGTCTGGGTATCATACATATCCATATTTGGACAATTTTCTTTCGGAGTAAACCTGGAATACAAATTTTTTAATTAACATATTATGTAGGCTTAGGCTATATTTGTTGATATCCTGAGCAAACAGGAGTGATAAATGAAAACATTTGCAGTATACAAGAGGGAAAACAACAAACAAAAGAATGTAAGTCATTCCTTTCTGGGCTTCTCCTGAAGGCAGTATTCTCTAGCCTCAGTTATTTTTGTCAGTGTGAGGAGCAAACGATCAAGAGAAAACTCACCTCCCATTATTCTAGTCACCTCCTGCTAGATGCAGTGACAGAAATGACTGCATCCATTGAAAAAACCCAACTATGAACCATAAATGGGTGCGAAGGAGAGAGGATGGTATAAGGAGATGTCAATAGCTATTAAAAATGTAGAATCTGTTAAAATTAATGGTAAAATGGTGCTTTGTTTGGCCTCAGTTGGTGCATCAAAAATCAGTGTAACCATTAGAAACACCCACACTCTGTTGCAGGTTTATTTTGAAAGCGACATGGAATAGATTTTGTTGACATAAGTAAACAATGAAAAAGATGTTAGAATCAGTAAAGATTTCACTTGAAGTACGTTGTTGGACACCAGTTGGTTAAAAAGTCACAACAAATATTCAAACACTAAAACAAAATCCGGTTCATGGCATTTGCCAATTCTCTCCTCCTCCTCCACACAGAAAAAATAATTATTTGTTCCCAGAGGTTTTGCTGAGCCAGAGGTTAAAGATCTAAAAATCTCAATTTCAAACTTAAAATCTCACCAGCATTTAAACAAAGGAGTAACAGAGAACCTCGGCGAATAGAGCTGTGTGATTGAAAACAGCACAAATTCACCGCACCCAAAAATGGTTCTTTTTTGGTAAAGCAGATTCTGCACTGTACCACTCCCAAGAAAAGTAATATTAAAGGATATGAAGAAAAGAACAAGGGAATGCGATTATAACAGAGCTAGCAACATCACAGCCACTATAGGCTGGATGGTATCCAGTGCTGTAAATGTGCTACAATTTCTAAGACCAGGAACAAAGTGGACCTATGACTGACTTCACAGGTCAGGTTTCTGCAAAGGTTTGCCTTTAGCTTACCAGAAACTGACCAACCATTTTCTCCCCCCTCACCCAACACTGGCGGAGCCTGATGCTGAGCCAGGGGGAGGGAGAAGATGACCATAGGCATGGTCGAAGAGGAGGGTCTTAAACACTGATTGTCCAGCATCTTGGGATGTCCACCCAATGTGAAAGGAGCTATACAAATGTAATTTTGTAGTTATTGTTCAAGCGCAACCTGAAAATGGGGAAAGAAGGAGCAAGGCAAAGGGATTGAGGGATGGAGTTCCATAGCTTCGGGGCTTAGTGGCTGATATAATAATCGGTCAGGTCACCAGTTCAGAAAGCACAACAACACCAAATTACATTTGCATAGCTTTCACGTCAGGAGAACGTCCCAAGACGCTGGACAGTCATGGATCAACATCCGAGCTGGTGGTTGGGATCAGGAGGGGTGGAGGGTTACCAAAGGTACAGCTGAAGAAGAGGGTCTTGAGACAGTCTTGAAGGAGGCAAGGGAGGGGTGGGGGCGAAGCGGAGGGACTATAGGTTGGAGTTCCAGACAGTGGGGGCATAGAGGCTGAAGTCCCGCCACCAGAGGTGGGGCGAGCGAGGTGGGGGACGTGAAGCAGGCCAGAGCCTGTTGAGCGGAGGGACCGGACAGGTTAGTGGGGGGTTAGGAAGTCACAGAGGTAGGGAAGAGCAAGGCCATTGGAGAGCTTTGAAGGTGAGGACCAGGATCCTGAGTGATGGGGAGTCAGTGGAGCCTGGCAAGGATGGGGGAATAGGATCGCATAAAGTGAATGATAAATTGTATCTACGGGATTGTTGGCCGGGACACCAGGAGAGAAACTCCCTTTTCTTTTCCAATAGTGTTATGGGATCTTTAATATGCATCTGAACAGGCACAGATGGGACCTCGGTTTAATGTCTCATTCAAAGGACGGCGCCTCCAACAACGTCACACCCCACCCAGCATTGCACTGGAGCATCAGCTGTGAATTCCAAGTCCCACAACCATGTGACTCAGAGGCAAGAGTGCTACCAACTGAGCCAGTCTGACACACACTTCGCCGGGCTGACGCACAACCATGCTAAATTCAGACTAAATTTAAGACATTTTCCACAATCCTGCACCATGTTAAGTTTGGAGACAAAATGTTCTTACAACTGAGACTTGGTGGAATTTCAGGCCAAGACCATGTGTGACCCAGTTGAAGGATTGTTATTCAGTCTATCTGAGTGACTATCCATCTGTCAGTCTATCTATCCAAGCCAGCAGGTTTGAAATGGGTTAAGATGTTTATAGAAGTCACATTTTAAATGGGACTAAGTCGCTGATACCCATACTTTGTTTAATGCATATCAGATTCAGAGTGGCTTGCTTGAAACTGTTTATAATGTATATGCCAATGCCCTGCCAGTCAGAATTCCCAACTCTTCCCTCCACAAGCTGCTGATCATCCAGAATTCTGCAGCTCGTATCCTCTCCCGCACCAGGCTCCATGATCTCATCATACCCACCCTCGCCCGGCTCCACTTGCCCACCATCCCTCAGAGGATTGAGTTCAAAATTCTCGACCTCACCCTCAAGGCCCTCCATGGCCTTGCCCCCTCCTAACTCTCCAACGTGCTAACCCCTCATCAACCTTTCCGCTCCATTCGCTAGGCAAGCTCCGACCTGCTCTATGCCCCCCCCCCGTCCCGCCCCACCAGCCTCTCTGCCCCCACCCTCTGGAACTCCATCCCACATTCCCTTCATCTCCCTCCCTCCATTACCTCCTTCGAAGCATACCTCAAGACCCTCCTCTTCGACCGTGCCTTCGGCTACTTTCCTACCCCCACCGTGTCTTTGGCCAACCTCCTCCCACCCTCCACCCTCCCTGATTCCCCTCCCACACACCACCCCCCCCACCCCCCTGGTCCTAATCCATGAATGTTCAGCGCAGCTGTCCTCCTAACATGAAAGGTGGTTTACAAATGTAATTTTGTACTGTATATGGCTCACAGGCAGGAAGCAATGTACATAAGCAAAGCTGTGATAAGATGACTGCAGCCCTGTAGGTCTACTTTCAACCAACAACGGGCACTTGTAACACAGTTTTCGCAATGTAGAAAACGGCTTTTTTAAAATATTTTCTGTCAGTGGTTACTTCGGTAAAATGACAGCAATAAACTGCCAACTTAAACGGTATAATACTACACGGTTTAGAAGAGGACGGAAACAGTGTGAAAGGGCTGTAAATGCTCTTGCACACATTTGGTTCTCTGCCAAACATTCTACTAAAGCAATACTCTAACATAAGACTTTTTGTCCCACGTTATTGTATTCAAACATGTATCCCCATCACCCAGAAAAAAACAGCACTTTTTTTAAATGAATGAATCAATGAAATGTCCAGTCTATTTCATTTATTTTAATCTTTTTCTGGTCAGTTATATAATAATAATCCTTGCATTTGATATAGCAGTTTATCACATCGTTAAGATGGTTCAAAGTGCTTCATAGAATAAACTGTAAAGTGAATTGACTGTATATTTTCTGGGCGAAACTTGGCAGCCAATTGCACACAGCAATGTCCCACAAACAGCCATGGATTGAGGGAGCAAATTATTATTTTTTAAAAAAGGGGATTATTACCCCTGGAAAAGCACTCCGCCTAATTGACGAGCAATCAGATTCCTACTTACTGCTAGGAAAACAGAGGTGTGTGGAGTAAGGAAACATGCCTAACGTTTCGCTCTGTCTGGGAAATGAACCTGGGTTAACAAATAACACACAAATCCTGTTGCATGTGTCACTCTAATATCACACTTAAAAGCAAAGACAGAAACCAGTCGACTCACATAGGTGGAGGGTGTCAGGAGTGTTACGCAACTGGCAACTTATTTCTTTACTGTGTTCTTTTTTTACAAAAAGAATGAGATAAATGCTTGAAGAGAAGAAATATTAAGGGGTATGGAGTGAGCAGGGAGCAGTCTGGGATTAAATTGCCTCACATGGGAAAGAGAATGACGCAGACTTAATGGGCCAATGTTCTGTTCCAGTGCTGTAACAATCTATGATTGTGTAATTCCATGTTCATCAAATTAAGCAATGTCAGTGTGGAGACAATTAAACACTTGTTCACCATCCTCAGCCTGTATCAAGCACTTGCAGATCAGATGTACCACGGAGCAGACTATGCCAGTTCTTTTATAATTTATACTTAGCACAGGATGAGACCTCTGTCCCATCAGTCTGGTCTGGTCTCCTCTAATGTGTTGAAACAGGTTTTCCCCAAAGTCTTAGTTATGCAATAGATTATTTTTGGCTGAATTGGTGAGAAGGATTCTTCAACAGTCAAGTAGCTTAGTGTGTCTGTCAACTTTGCAGGTTTGTGCCAATGATCAATTCCATTGTTCTGTAACTTCAGACAATTAAAAGATAGCTCTGAGTATGTTTACTCTGTCCTAGGATCAAAAGTTGTTATAGAAACCAGATCAGTCAATGCTGGAGCAAGAGGACGCAGCTGCAGCCTCTTTGAACCTCAGCAAATGTAAAATGGTTGACCAATCTCTTTTTCATTTTTTTCTCTCTTCCCCCTCGTTTCCCAAGAACACAAATTCAGGCCTAGGTAACTTTTCACAGGTATTAGTCACCCAAGTAGCCATTCTTCATGTGTAAGCCAAGATAGCAAGTGTAGGCAGGCTTTTCACTGTGGAGTAGATCACAGCTGAGTTCAATCCCATCCTCACCCATCATCCACTGAAGTGCATACATTTCAGAGGAGTGGAAGTGGCCAATTGTTGTATTGCCATCAGTGACCCACTGAAATGAGCCAACTGAGGATAGGCAAGTGATCAAACCTAAACCTTATCCGACACAGTTCATTTAAACACCTTGTGTTGCATTTAAACAGTGACCATCAAGGTACCTAGAGAAGAAGATTATTAATGCAAGACTTTAACAGCTACCCCTTTTGCAGAAC